AGTCAGTTAAGCGTCCTACCTCGGCTCAGGTCATGATCTCGTGGTTTGTGAGTTTGAGCCTCATATCAGGCTCGGTGCTGACAGCTCGGAGCCTGGAGCCTGCTTCAAATTCTGTGTCTCCCTCAATCTCTGCCCCTATCCCACTTGCACACACACACTCTTTCTCTCTCAAAAATGAAAAAACATTAAAAATTTTAAAAAACAAAAAACAAAAAACAAAAACATGCAGGCATAAGCGCAGTCATACAAGCACACACACACAACTATGATGCTTCATAGAGTGATCGAGTGAACCTGCATTTCATACAAACCCAACCATATGCCCACAGTGAAAAGATGAATCCAAATAAAACCAACTGATCCTTCCAGCTACTTTTGTGGGAATCCACAACACATGAAACCATGTGGACAGTGCTGGGTAAACAGTTCTGGGGCTGCTTGCCCCAATGCTGGCCTCAGACCCCAAACTGGGAGCTTGCCCCATGAGTGTCCACTTACTCATTCCACATTTATACTCAGAAGCAGCACCAGGAACAGATAAAACCACTTGGGGGCGCCTACTTTCTGCCATGTTATGGCCACCCCCCTGAGAGGAAAAACTCACCACTGAGGACCTCATTGTTGTTCCCCCAGAAGTCTGCTAACTTGGATGGTCTGTGGTAAAATTCATCCCTGTTGGCCGCCAGGATGAGCCTGAAAGAGAAAGGATGACTAAGGGTCTCAGGGGAAAACAGAAAAGCCATGTTTTATTTCTCCTGTTAACAAAGAATTCGCCTCAGTAGCAACATAGGCAAGTCCCAGCGAGGACAGGAACCCTCAGGAGGCAGAGGTCAGTGACGGCACCAGACAGGGCTGTTTCCTAGGGAGCCTCTGGCCAAGACTGTGCCCCAGGGCCCTGCCAAAGAAACAAGCAGATGCTGGGTGAAGGTACGTATCCCATCCCACCCTGCATATTCCTACCCACCCAAAAAGGGCCACAAGATCAGGGCCTGCGCGGGGGAGGGCTCTGAGCAGCTGGCACCAAGCATGTCCCAGGTGCTCAGGTGGCAGAGGTACTCCCCCTCTGTCCATGTGTTCCTTCCCCTGAGGCCACCCCCAGTGAGCCCGTGAACTTCCTGGAAGTGTAAGCATGCCTCTCAGAAGGGCCCTGGGGAAGCGTGTAGCCGGCAGCCAAGTGCAGGAACTCTGGAAGCTGCTGTCCTGTGTTCTGGGGTGTTTGGGGAAAGGAAGTGCATCACGTAAGGATTTCTGCGTTTCTCTAGATTTTTGCATTATGAATCAAACAAGTATTTTGTGGGCAAGTAGAAAAGATGTCCGTGTTTTCAAAAGAGTTCTAGTTTCAAGGTGAGAAAACAAAGTTTCTAATCGGCTTTGCCATTTTAAATATAATAAGGCCATAGACAGTGACTGAATGGAAGGGGTCCACCCCTGCTACATCCATGAGACCTCTGGGTCTAGGAAGTGACTGCCAAAGGGTCCTGAACACCATGGGCAGGTGCACAGAGGACGTGGAGCCAGGAGCTATGGCTTGGCAGCCTGTGGCCATGCTGGGGTTAATATGTGGTCAGATCCTAAAAAGTTTCCAAAAATAATTTTTGATTTTAATCTTAGATTTTTATGAACATTTGCTTGTGGTGAAATGCGAGTTAACAAAGAACTTCATAAAACTGAAAGTGAAACTGGCACTGGCACCACAGCCCAGGACCACAGATGTGCCTTCATCCCGTGCACAGAGGGTGAGCACCCAACTCTGCATCTCCACAAGCACCAACATGGCCAAGGACTATGGATGGCCATCAAACCCTCTGGGTCTGCCCTGGGAGTCTCACCACCTTAAAGACACCTGTCTGGCCTGCGATAGCTCTCTATCCCGACACAGTGGTCCAGGTCTCAGGGATAGGCCCCTGCGGGGGGGGAGGTCACTGTCCCTGATACGAACCCCAGCCACCCATAGAACAATCTTCTGTAGCTCCACATGCCAGACCCCAGCCCCCGGCTGAGGCAGTCAGCCTTAGGGAGAAGCCAGCTGGGCCCAGACCCCTGCCTCCTGCCACATCTACTCTGTCCCTTTCTTCTGGGACTGAATTTCAGATCCGACCTGGCTGGCACTGCTCCCACAGGTTGCTTCTGTGGGCCGGGCATCCCACCAACCCCTGTGGGTGGAGGTTGTTTCATGTGGTCAGGAAACAGTGTTCTCCTTCAGACACCCAGCACCCCTCCTCTGCTCACTCATCCCGATACCTGTGGGGAGAGGGGGCTGCAGAGGCCAGGAGGCTGGGAGGCCAGGAAGGCAGAACCTGAATTAAGACTGGTGATGTTGGCTTCTGGTTCTGATTCTTATGTAAGTCTCCAGAAAAGGAAAAATTGAGGGGAAAAAAAAAAAAAAAAAAAGCTGACTGAGCAGAACCTTCTGTCCTATGATTCTCAATTCCTATTTTTTTTTTTTTTTTAAATTTTTTTTTTTTTTTCAACGTTTATTTATTTTTGGGACAGAGAGAGACAGAGCATGAATGGGGGAGGGGCAGAGAGAGAGGGAGACACAGAATCGGAAACAGGCTCCAGGCTCTGAGCCATCAGCCCAGAGCCCGACGCGGGGCTCGAACTCACGGACCGCGAGATCGCGACCTGGCTGAAGTCGGACGCTTAACCGACTGCGCCACCCAGGCGCCCCTCAATTCCTATTTTTAAACATGGAGCAGTGACATGCATTTGTTATTAACTAGAAATATTAACTGCTAGGTTATTTTTGTTGCAAGAGTCGCTATTTAGCTGAATTTCTAGTGGTTTGCTGGGGATTTCATTAAATACCTAATTCGGAAACATGTGGGTGTGATGAGTACCCACATCAAGGCTCCAAGTAAGAGAAAGTATTCCCTCACTCACCACTTCTGGGTACTTCAATACCAATAAAAGTCTATCTGTGCCATAGCACCCAGGGGCAGGGCACAGGCCAACCACAGTCAGGGGCTCTGAGGACAGCAAGTCACCCATGGCTTTGTTTTGTTCTAATAACTGAAACTGCTAATTATTCATCACCAATGGGCACTCCTCACCCTGCTACTGAGGATGTCTGTGCATCACCTGGGTGTGGGTCTGTGCCCCATCTGAGAGGTGGGTCTGTGTCCCACCTGAGGGGGTAAGTCTGCGTACTATCTGGGGGAGTGAGTCTACACACCATCTGGGGGGATGAGTCTGTGTATCATCTGGGGTTAGTGTGCACCATCTGGGATGATGGAGTCGGCTCACCATCTTGAAGGGGGGGTGTCTGTGCACCATCTGGGATGGTAGAGTCTACACACCATCTGGGGGGTGAGTCAGTGCACCATCTGGGGGAGGGGTGTGTACCATCTGGGGGATGAGTTGTGCACCTCTAGAAGCTGAGTCAGTATACCATCTGGGGTGGGCCTATGCACCATCTGGTGGCGGGGGGTGAGTCTGTGCACCATTTGGGGACAGTTTAGTGTCAGGTAGCAGTTGCATGGGCCCATGGCCTAGTGATGTCACCAGCAGTGACATGGAAGCCCCCAGAAGGATGTGACAGCTCACCCAGCAGCCCCTACAGTCTGGAGCCAATAAAGGGAATTAGCTCTGGAGTCTAAACAAACATTTTGATAAAGATGGTGGTTAGGTGATAGCCAGGACGGTGTTACCTGATCAGGAGTGTACTGGTTTTCTATGTGGCCTAACAAATTGCCAAACATTGCGGCTTAGAGCAACACCTACTTCTTATCTTAGTCTGCAGTCAGGAGTGCAGGCCAGGCTGTGCTGGGTACTCTGCTCAGGGCCCCCTGAAGTGGCACTCGAGGTGCCAACTGGCAGGGTCTCACTGAGGCTTGGCATCCTCCTTACGTTCCTGAGGTTACTGGAGAATTCCCATCCTTGGCTGGGGTCACACTCAACTCCTGGAGGCCACCCCCGGTTCCCAGCCATGGGCCCCACCAAGCATGGCAGCTAACCTCTTCAGGAGGGGCCTGGTCCCACTTGGGGGCTCTCCTGACTGGGTCAGACCCATCCAGGATCGCTCTCGTTTGATGAACTCCAAGTCAACTGATTAGGGACTTGTATTACATTGGCCAAATCCCTTCACATTTACCCCCATGGTCCCACACACAACTACGGGAACAGATGACACAGGTATGTATGCAGGGGCAGAAATCTTGGTGGCCATCAGCCTGCCACAAGGGTTATGGGAGCTCCCATTTTACTTTGTATAGCTTGTAGGGTATGACTTTTTTTTGAAAGAGGACATACCCCTTTACAATCAGGGAAATAACTGGAATCCCATGGGAATACAGCTGCCTCTATGGAGTAAGGTCACTTGGGACCCTGGGGCAAGGCTGCAGCCCACACAAAACTTCTAAGTCAGCATCTTATAGGCTGCTAACATAATTTCTTATCTGTTATGCTCCCTGCTGGAGTGCTGCAGATATTGGTACTAAAATTAAAAACAAGCAGAACCAACAGACACTCAGACAATCCTCACACTGGGTAACTGTCACCAAAAAATGGAGGTTCTAAGTGGCAGGTAACAACAGGCATGGAAGGCAGAGGCTGGGACCACCCAGGGGAATCACACCCCTGGGCAGGGGTCATGATGCACCATGCCAGGGGTGACCCCAGGAGAGAGTGACACTCAAGGAGCCCACCTTTCCAGGGCCAGCTCAGCACCAAGAAGACAGACAGGAAGGCCCAAGGGCTCTTGGAGGGTCATGCCAGGGAAGTGCCTGGAGGGGAGGGACCAGTGGAAATTGACATGGGGACGGCTGCCACCTCTGGAGGGATGGGCATCCCCAACAGCGAGATGCAGTGACATGGCAGATGGGAGGTGTAGACCATGGGATCCATGACACCAGGGCCCAGCCCAGTATCAGGCCTGGAGATGTTCTGCAGAAGGTGCCATGCTCACATTCACTCCCTGAGCACGTGCTGCGCTGGCTCCCCCCTCCCTTCCCGGGCCCCCTGAGAGCCACTCAGCAACAGACTATAACTGCTACATCTGGGCAGACAGATCACAAGATACATGCTGTGCAATGGGCCACACTTTCTCTTGTGGGAAAACAGGATATGGTGCTTGAATGAGGCCCAAGAGAAGAAGAGATGCTTCAGGAGCCACATCTTTCACAACAGGCCAGCAAAGTGGCAACATCACTGGGTCAGTCCTAGGAGGGCATGACAGGGACAGGCTCGTCTTCCAGAGACTGACTTCTGGGAAGCCAGAAAACACATTCCCATGAGATCAGCATCTGGCAACGGCAGAGCCATGGATGACACTGCCCACAGCATCAAAAGTGAGGATGTTTCAGTCTTTCCTGTAGGGCAGAGAGGAAACGTTTAAGTTAATATTTATATATGCAGTTGACCGCTGAACACAGGGGTTAGAGGCATCAACTTCCCTCCCTGCACAGTCAAAAATCCACATATAACTTTCGACTCCACCAAAACTTGACTACTACTGGCCTACTGTTCACCACAAACCTCACCAATTACGTAAACAGTTGATTCACACATATTTTATATGCTATGTGTATTACATACCATATTCTTAGTATAAAGTAAGCTACCTAAAATAAAGGAGCACACGACTCTTGATCTAGGGGTAATAAGTTCGAGTCCCACATTGGGTGTAGAGATTACTGTAAAAAAAAAAAAATTAAAATCTTAAGGGCACCTGGGTGGCTCAGTAGGTTAAGTATCGGACTTTGGCTCAGGTCATGATCTCACAGTTTGTGAGTTCAAGCTCCGCGTCAGGCTCTGTGCTGACAGCTCAGAGCCTGGAGCCTGTTTCGGATTCTGTGTCTCCCTCTCTCTCTCTGCTCCTCCCCCACTCATGCTCTGTCTCTCTCAAAAATAAATAAACATTAAAAAAATTTTTTTCAATTAAGAATCTTAAAAATAATTATAAGGAACAGAAAATACATTTACAGTATTGTACTTTAAAAAATCTGCATGTAAGTAGACCTACACAGTTCAAATCCATGTTGTTTAAAGGTCAACTTTATATGGCAATGATGGCCACCATTCCAGCTATGAAAGTCCCCTTTGGGGCACCTGAGTGGCTCAGTCAGTTGAACATCTGATTTCAGCTCAGGTAATGATCTCCCAGTTCATAAGATCGAGCCCCATGCTGGGCTCTGCACTGACAGCACGGATCCTGCTTCTCTCTCCCCCCTCATGCACACTTTCTCTCAAAATAAATAAATAAATAAATATTTTAAAAAAAAAGTCCCCTCTACAATCATCTGACCTTGGAGCAACACTGACTTCAGGGATGAGCTTAACCCACAAATAAAAACAGGTACTTCCCATTACACTGAGGGTCAAGAGGCTACTGAACACGTGATGACATTGAGGGTGCCCAAGAGAGCACATGGAGCACAGGGTCTTCAATGGGTCCCAGCCCTGTGTACCAGCTTTATGGGCAGTAGAGTCCAAGCGGATGGTGGCACTAGCACCTGGCTTGTCTGGCTTGGCGCAAAAGGACTTGGTCTGGACAGCACTCAATGATGACACACTGTGAAGACATAACTCTGCCACCAAACAGGACACGGGCTGACATGGCTTGGGAAGCCTATTGCATGGCCATCAAAGATACTTGAGGTAATCAATTTGGCAGTTCTTCAGAAAGTCAAATACAGACTTGCCATATGATCCAGCAATTCTGCTTCTGGGTACATACACAAAAAAAATGGAAAGCAGGACTCGAACAGACACTTGAATGCTCATCTTCACGGCAGCATTACAGCCAAGAAGTGAAAATAGTCCAAGTGTCCATCAACGGATGAATGGATAAAAATACAGTCCATGCATACAATGGGCTGTTACTCACCCGTAAGAAGGAAGGAGATTCTGACAATACTACACCAGGGATGGACCTTGAGGACACTATGCCACGTCAAACAAGCCAGTCACAAAAAAATATTATGATTCCACTAACGAGGTCCCCAGAATAGTCCAGGTCATAGAGACAGAAATTAGAACTGTGGTTGTTAGGAGCTGGTGGGAACAATGGAAAGTTAGTGTTCAGTGGAGACAGAGTTTCATCTGGGGACAATGAAGAGTTCTGGAGATGGACGGTGGGGATGCTTGCACAATAATGTCAATGTGTTTAATGCCACTGTGCTGGACACTTGTAAATGGTTAGAACAGCACACACTGCCATTCCTGCCAGTTAGTAGATGGGTGTAAGATGAAGACACAGCAGCGGATGTTAAGGCGGCAGGCAGAGGCTGGTGCATCCCAGGCCAGGACAGGGATGGCTAAAGCAGGAGGGAGCCCAAGTAAGGGGCAATGGGGCAGGCCCTGCTGGCCCAGATGGCTCCTGGCAGCACTGCATAGCCAGGATCTCCCCACCACGCTGATGGCCCCAGAGCCTGGCCTGCTCCCCATTTCACTGCAGGCACCGGGAGCCCCTCTGTAATCTCTGATGAGCCTAGGCTTGGCTCACCAGGTGTCTCTTCCCTGGCCCTGCTGCAGTGTACCTCCCGAGGCAGCCTCCTCCTTGCTCCTCCCGTCCTTTTCTCACATCACAAACGTACAGAAGCGCAGATACCAAGGGCCTGCAGCCCACCCATTCTCATGGGCCAGACAGCCCCACAGCAAGAACAGGACCAGCCACCAGAAGCCCCTATTGCCCTCCCGCAACAGGGAAAACACCAAGTGTATTTGGTCAGTCACCAGAGGTGGCATATATAGTTTTTGGCTTAGAGCTTTGAAATACACTGGAAAGAAACACTGAGGCCATCTTGAATCACAACCCATGAATCACTATGAGGAGAGGTCTTAGCAGTGATGCACAGGTCCTGAGCAAAAGCAAGAGACCTCCTTCCTCCTCCCACACTTGCAGGAGATTGGAGGTAACCTTTGGAAACAGCATATCTAGTGAGGCTGCCCCTAAATCTAGAAGTAATGATATAGCCAGCAACAGACTCAGTAACTGTCAGACTGCTATCAAAATGTGTGAGAAATTCTGCATTTGTCAGGTGGAAGGAGAGTCATTTTATCAGTGTGTAAGAGTTCATGTGAGCATAGAAGGGCACACATGAAACCTCAGTAGCAAGGGGGTAGATTGTGTCAGTTATCCATTTATTATGTCTCAGACCCAAATTTGCCCTTCATTTTCTCCTCATGATAAAGGAGCTGAACTTTGTGGCTAGTATCATATTAGGTTTTATCAGTAGAGGGCACTGGAGAGACACCGCAGGTGGAGAGGTTTCTTTTCCTGGATGCAATGTGCTTCCTCGGGACATTCCCGCAACATGTGTGGCTTCCCTAAGATCAGTCCGGATACACTTGTGGCTTCCCGCATGCACCCAGTGGCCAGCGCCTTCCCCCAGCATCCTCTTGCAACAGTTGCCAGCACCCTAGAGGGCAGACTCCTAGCAAGTTCTGCTGCCCGTGGCACCCCAGAGATTACTTTGTTATCTAGTGTGCCATGGCTGTGCCCCCAGCAAGGTCTGAATCTCAGCCTGGGGACGAGGACAGGGCTCTGCCCAGGGTATTCCAATCCTGTTACAGTTAATAATTCTGTCTGTTACACTTCCCTGCTTAAATCACTGCACCTGGATCCCACCCACTGCATCCTGACTCATACAGCTCATGCTGCTGGGGGCTAATCAGGGTCAGCTCCAGGACTCTGGCCTGGCCCCTCTGTCCACTCCTCTGCATGAAGGAAACACTGGACACTCTTCATTCCCCAGCCCCTGGCCTGGAATGAGTTTCATTCAGCACAGTTAGGCAGCATGGTGTCTGTGTAATTCTGCATGGTGACTCAAATCTGAGAAGTTAGTCAAAATCGTTCAAATAATTCCTGGTACAGATTTTAAAACAATGAACACTTCCCAGGCAATTGTACTAGTGATCAGTTTTGAATGTCACTTTTGGCTGTAGGCTACCTCTCAGCCTCAGCCTGGATAAACTTGGATGGATTCCCACTGGGGTGACCTGGGAGATGGAGAGGCACCATCCAGAGCCCAGGGTCATGGGGAGGAGCAGGGAGAACTGGATCACATCTCGCCCCTCTCTGGCCTCAGTTCCCCACCTCCTCTGCTGGTCCCCCAGCTTTCCCCGCCCCCCATCCTCATTCCCCAGCTCAGGACTGACAGACCCTACGTGTTAGCACCAGCACCCACACTTCCCACTGGCAACACAGACCAGCCAGTCCAAACCGGGCTCTTAGTCGTCATCTTGCCAGCTCTGTTGCCCCTGGTGCCCCTACAGAGACCACAGAACTGCACTCCCACCTGGCCCCCATTGCTCCTCTGTCCTACCTGCACAGTGACTGTTAGCAAAGTCTCAGCACCTCTGCACGTCAGTTCAGAGCTCCTACCAGCAAGGGGTATTCTCTGCTGTGCCCCACACTGAGTGACCACTGTTGGACAGGACAGGCCCAGGCTGTAGAGCCAGTCCCTACCCAGGCACTATGCCAAACAGAGGACAGCAGACACAGAGCAAGGGGGTTACCTGTAAGCATTTTTGGAAACAGGGCGAGGATCAAACTTAAAGAAGATGATGCACATGGGTCCCTGAGAGCAGCTTTGTTCACACGGGGCCACACAGTCTGTGAAAAAAGGAAAAAAAAATGCATTGAGTAAATGGAGACAACAGAACACTGCCCCCTCCCGAATCTGCAATGCTCCCTGGCCCAGAACAGAACCACCTCTGTGATATCCCTGACCCTCACCGACATGGCAGAACCACGTGCCAGACACTGTGACACTCACCAGCACTACATAACCATCTCCTTAAATGTTCACACATATCAGCACAGGCCAGACTGTCCCCTGATGCCTACAATGCTCACTGGCCCTTGACACACCACAGGAGAGTGGCCATGGCAGCAAGAACAAGAACCATGTGTGTGGGGGGTGGGGAGACGGGGGCAGCAGGTGGGTACCCTCCCACACCACACCTGAGTGGCTTTGTGGTTTGCTCCATGCCCACCACCCAGATTGATCCATCCTAGCCCCTGGAAATGGCACCAATTCCAGCCCCCCAGCCCCTCAAGGCAGGGCTGTATCATATCTAACCGGCCTGGGGATGCTCTGCAGCAGTGACCACAGCAGGCCCTCAGCACATGCCCTCATGACAGCACATACAGAGCCAGGGGCCCCAGAGGACCCAGAGGACCCTGCACACCCCATGTAAGCAGGTGCAGACAAGAGGCAAAGCACATGTGCTGGTGATATGGACATGCATCCAGGTGCTGGGGAGTGGGGACTCAGTGCATACCTTTGCACACACAGGCCCTGTGCCTGGGGACCTCTAGCACCAGCAGGTCTTTTCCCAAACGAAGTTGAGAACAGAGATGAGATCCTGAGGCCACTGAACCTGGGATGAGGCGACTTTGAGGGTCTCTAGTCCTGTATGCGTGCATGAGCCAGGACACCACTCCAGGGCAGAGCCAGCTCCTACAGCCATGAAATGGATAGCAAAGAGGCTGCATAGATGCCCTGACCAAAAAGATGCCCCAAAAGAACCTCACGGGCAAGTACGTGCATGTACGTGAGGCCTGAAGGTCTGTGCACATGTGTAAGTATAAGGGCATGTCTGTGTATGTGTGCTTCCGCACGTCTGCATGTGTGTGTGTGACTGTATGCATGTGTGTGTCTAGAGGAGGCAACTGAGCTCCAAGCACGTTAGCCTGGGGTGCCCTAGGATTGGGGAGGGTCTGTGCAGTAGCCTGTCCCCCAAGAGTATTAAGCACACAGTGCCTACTAGAGCAAGGTCTGGGCTCTGCCCTGGGTGGGAGAGGGATCACACCTGTAAAGAAGGTCTATGAGTTGGTCCCCAGCTCATAGAGAAGGTGGAATGAGATGCCCAGACACTGCCCATCCTCGCTCCAGGTTTCAACACAAACCATGAACACTCTGCCTCTCCTGCCCCTCTGCCCCCAAGCCTTGGAGCAGCCACACAGGGGAGGGGACCAGCCTGCTGTGAGGGACACAGGCACAGTCCGCCCCCCAGGCATGGGAGCAGCAGGAGTAGGCCAAGGATGGCTCCAGCTCACTGCCCCAAGCTAGGGTCCCTTCCATCCATACACAACAGTTCCAAGAGAAGCCTACCCCAGCCGTGGGGGTGGGTAGGAACTGAAGAGAGCTTAGAGCCCCTCTCTGATGCCCATGCAATTGCTCCCAGTTCTTGGGTCTGTGAAGTAAAACATTTTCTGTTTCAGGACTCACAGAAGGAAGTTCCCACCACACCAATCCTGCCATCGAAGCTGTGGCAGCACCCAAGAGTGGGAGGGTGGGTGGACAGGTGGCAAGGGAGCTGGTGACAGAACACAGAACAGCCAAGGAGGGGCCAAAGCCTGAGGCTGGCACTATGGACACAACCACAGCTCAGAGCCACCTGTAGGTCTTCGTGTGGATGACACCATGTCCCTACCTCTCCATTCATTTCTGCTTACTGGTCTGGCAGGGATGGGAAGTGAGGGGAGGGAGTCAGGGAGAAAGGATCCACTCTGCTAGCCACCACTGGCTCCCACAGGCCCTCGAGGGACCCCCACAACTCAGCCCCAAGTTCCTCCCTGTCCCCAAAGGTACGAACATTGGTGATGCCTCAGGGGAACAATCCCTATCTTCAGCAAAGCCCTTGGCTGTGCAGGTGAGACGTCACCATGGTGACCAGTGCCACTGCAGAAGTGCAGGATGCTGGGAGATGAACAGCTATGTGAGATGGGCTGCTGGCCACTGGCCCCCACAGGACAGAGCCAAAGGCAGTGCCTGATGTGGAAGAGGGCCCCGAGTTGACAGGAGCAGTCTGGGTTCCCACCCCTGGGTGCCCTGGTAGTGCCCACTAGGGCCATCATCCTAGGGTCACCTGATATAATACTGGTGGGCAGGCTGTTGGGACTGACCCTTGTAGCAAAAACAACTCAAAATGCTTAAAACAATATGCAAAAATCTTAAAAGCAGCCAAGAACTAACAAAGTCATGCAGGATTTAGGCAATATCTCAGAGAACATGAAGACCCAGAGAGGAAAGAAAGCAGAGTACCCTGGCTATGATTCCTGTCCTGAGGCACTGGTCCATCTGGGCAAACCAGACTCTGGTGACCACGGAGCTAAGTGAGACCAAAGACAAGGCCCAGGGCTGCCCCAAGATGGTAATGAAGTAGGAAACCCACCCCCCCCCTCCACCCCGTCAGGGTGAAGCTGGGCCCCTGAAAGGCAATGCTCCTAGGGTAAGGATGGACTATATCCACCGCCACCCCAAGGGGCCACAGGGACAGCACACAGAAGTGGAGAGAATCCCTGAGAAGCCACATGAGCACAGCCAGTCCGCACTGGGGGTCCAGGGATCCTCATGCCAAGACTTAGTTTGAGTGGCTCCTGCATGGGTAAGTGCCCTCAGGCACCTGGCAAGCCAAAGTTCTCATCTTCACGCTAGACCTCCAAGAAGGCTCACAAATCATTTCAAGGACAAAGAGAAGGACAGTCAGAAAGAACCACATAATGAAACAAAGCACCATAAGTAAGAGCCAGCAGAAAGTGATCCCCACATGTCTAGTAAACCAACCATGCTCTGACTGCAGAAAAAGCTTGAGAATATTTGCAGCAAAAGTACATGAGACAGAGTAAATCAGGAGGTTCACAAAGCACTGGAGAGGACTTTGAGAATCAGAAGCTATAGTAACCATGAATTAAAACTCAGCAATGGGGGCACCCGGGTGGCTCAGTCGGTTAAGTGCCTAACTCTTGACTTTGGCTCAGGGCATGATCTCACCATTTGTGAGTTTAAGCCCCTCATCGGGCTCTGTGCTGACAGCGCAGAGCCTGCTTGGGATTCTCTCTCTCCCTCTTTCTGTCCCTCCCCTGTGCGCTCTCTGTCTCTCTCTCTCTCTCTCTCTCAAAATAAATAAACTTAAAAAAAAAAACACAACACCTCAGCGGTGGGTTCTAAATTAGCAGATTAGACACAGCTAATGAGACAGACCAACTTGTCCAGAACGCAGTACAGGGAGGTAGGAAGCATGTGGCACCTCCTGGGGCCCTAAGTGTCCCACCTGCCACATGGCTATAGCCCAGCACCGAAGACGTAGGCCTTCTCACCCCCAAGGAGCTGGTCTCTCCCACAAATGAGAATTCTCCTGGTAAGGAGGCCAACTGGCACTGTCTATGGCAACCAGACCAACCATGGTCAGTGGGGGAAACCCTGCCAGCCCATCACTTCTGAAATCCCACCTACCCGAAGCCCCAAGACAGAGGGCTGTTCTGAGGGCTGCTCCCCCAGGGACATGCTGCCCCACCAGGGACATGCAGCTCTGGGTTGTCAGAAGAGGTCATCATGTTGGCCTTGGCCTGCTGTGCACCTCTCTGGGCTGTGTGCCCAGTTACTGAGCAAGGCCATTGGCCGGGAGCAGCTCTGGCTACTGAACCTCACAAGCCAGAAGCAGAGCCCTCCAACTTGGCTGTAGGACCTCACCATCCTAGCCAGCCTGTGTGGGTGGCAGACCAGCCCTCCAGACAGCGGTAGTGGGGAGGACTCTGAGGTTGGAGGAAAGGCCACTGATGAGTCTCCAGGCAGCCTGGCGCCAGAGTTGTGGGCACAAAGCCCAGGGCTGCGGCCTCGATGAAGACGTGGTCATTGGGAGGGAAGGACCAGAGGAAAGCCAGCCCCTGGGGAGGGGACCATCAGGAACTGCCTTTCTCTCCAATCCCTCACCCCCCACTCAAGCCAGGCCCGCTGCCCACCGGCCCCACCCCTTCGCGGCTTCACTTCCCACCATGCCAGCACCCTCCTTCACCTGGGCAGGTCCCATGGGTGCAAGGCCCTTTTCCCAGCACGCCCCCACCCAGGCCCTGATGAAATGCTACCTGACACTCTGTTTGTTGGGCCACCTTCAGGGCTGACTTTCCGGGCTCCCAGAGCAAGCTCTGGAGACAGCCACCACGGGCTGAACACAGGATAGGTGGGAGGCTGGAACCGCCAACAGTGGCAAACAGTATCCTGCCCCCGTTGCTGTATGCCTGCCTGGCAGCTTGGGACACTAAGAAAACACTGCTCTCCACTTCCCACAGTTCTGAGGCTGGCACCGTGGGAAAGGGAGGGGGAAGGGCTTCAATAGACCCCACCATGCCAGGTGGGGCTGGGGCTCATCCATGCTAGGTGGTTTCTCTGCTTGTTTTGGGGAGCTTACCCTCAAAGGACACCAGAGCTGGTAAAATGTGTAAGGGAGGGTGGTGTCCTGGGCAGAAGCATGCCTGGGCTCAATGACATCCTCACCCCACTGGTCCCCACCTCTATGAGGCATGCAAGCCCAAGACTTCATGGAGTATCTGGATGCCCATGGAAGCCCATAAGCCAAGGCTCACCCCAGAGAGCCAGGGCCAGCCCACAGCTGGAGGAAGAGACAGGCAGGAAGGTGCTGGGGGGATCCGATTAGGAGCCTTGCCCATGTGCCTTGGCAACCTTGGGGTAGCCATCTGATGCTGTACTCAGAGGGAAGGAGAAGGCACATGTGGGGTGCTGGAATCAAGTGGGCCTCCTGACCCTGCACATGTTCCCAGGAAGGCCCC